CATCTTTCGATTTTCGCGATCTGGTAAAGGGGAGGCTGATGTGTATCGTTTTATGTCCAAACATACTTCAGATCACAATGTGCTTTTTTGTCTCGATCCGTTGTCACACCTCGCCATCGATGGAAATAACAGTTAATTTAAGTCTTGAAACGCGCAGATAGATGAATCACGGCGTTAAATATGTCACTATCAACAGAATGTGCCGCAGCATTACTATCTTTTAGATACCCTAGTTTAATGAGTACTACACTTTCCTAGAAAGCTTATGGGAACCTGGATGCTTGTGCCATGAAGAGCTTGAATAGTAGGCCTGGCAAACCGTTGTCCTAAATTTCCACAAAAGTTGCCGAAAGAAACGCCAAAAGTTGAAAACTTTTGTGAGGTTTTGCCAAAGTGCTGCTAATATTAATTCGAAGAAATGAGGCAAAACGATGTTCTTATTTAACTAATGAGGTGATGTCGGCTTATAGAAAATGCAGGTTCATAGAAAAAACAGCATTGTTCGGACGAGACAACGATCGCTGAGTCGATAGATCTCAGTTATTGCTCAACGTTTTTAGAGATGTTCAACGTATGTAGAGATGTTCAACGTATGTAGAGATGTTCAACGTATGTAGAGATGATATGGGAACCACTCTCAAGAGACTGCAGCAGTCACATAGGGCCCAGGCTCAGGATATCACCTCTCGGTCAAAATGGCGGCAGCAGTATCATAAGGATTTGTATGAAGCTTTAGAAAATAGCGCAAAGAAAATACACGCGCTGATTGGCTTAAAATCCTGATAGATGGAAACACATAACAAGCATGAGTTGTTGACGTAATCATGGCACGAGCAAAGAGAATTTACATTTTGATCATCAAAGTAAACAAGTTGTTTACTTATTTACTACAGTAAAAAAATGGGGGAAACATTTCCCTTATTCGTAGTAGAACACAATTAAAACCTACCAGTTATCATCTGATGTGGGAGTGCATGCAAGAAAATCATTTAAAAATTGGTGCCGAAGCTTGTAGCTAACCAAAGGACTCTCAGTGCACGCATGAATTGTTACAAAGAAATAACAGAGCCATTTGAATTAATTTTAATTTATTTTACTTCTTAAGTTCTTATACAGATACAGGACAAGTGAGAATCCGTGCGACTGGTTTCACACAAGTGAAAAGAATAACTTTTAAATGAATTTATACAGTGCTATTTTCAAATTTTTGAAGTAACTTTTTAGCAATAATAATACAATAACAACAAAATCGGTCGTCACACTGAATAGTTAACCCGGCAAAACCTTTTTTAATCTTTAAGGCATGTCTAATGCATGCTTACTACTTCTACACCATGAAGATTATTAGCTACTTTACCATGTCTAGTTCATCCACTGTACTTAGTGACGAGGTAAAATTTTTTCCCTTTCGGAATATTCTGAAGCTTAACTACTCTAAAGTACAACGTTTCGACAGTTTCACAGGCCTCCCTTAGTAATTTTAAACTAGACAAAATCAAAGTGGCAAACTGATGTGTTGTTTTGCAGCGACCGCATTTCGAGACACATTGTGTCAGTTACGTGATATGCAAACGCCGTGGTACAGTCGCGCGGGAAAGGAACTCTTCTCAGACTGCTAACTTGAGTTCAATATGTGGTCAAGTCTACGAGAAACACCAAAGCCGTCTGATAATGTACTTTACTGCTTGTCTTACTTCCCTCATCTTCCAGCAGTACAGAAATGGGTTTATGGAGGAGTTAAACATAAGAAATGTCAATGTTACGGCCCCAGAGAAAGCAAGAGATGGTGTATCTAATGCTGCAACGTACTCTAAGGCTGCGACTACACTGTATGAAAGGTAACAAGCCAGTAAAGGCATCTGCAACCACAACTTACTGGAGACTGTCCTCTTGTAACGTGCTAGATTCATTGGAATTCCTCCTACGTTCGTTTGTCCTGGATTGCCATGGTCTTGTACTTGAGCTTGGCGATGATGTGTGAGTGTGGGATAAATTTTCGAATAACAGAAGGTTGAGATTACTAAGCAAACTATGGTTACCATGATGGCCATGCCTGCAGCTATTTGAGGGCTGTATGGTAGTATCAATGAGATTAAAAAGCAAAGAAGCCAAAAAGCAGCAACAAGAATCCGTACTCTCCTAAAAGTTACCACCTGTCTGTATCGTATTCCTAAAGTCAGGACAAGAAGTCTTTCCACATTTATTGCAGTCAGTGCTAACAAAGAAACTCCACAGAAAATTGCACCTATAGCGACAAAAAGAACGAGAAGACCAAAACAAAGTATGGATTGTTCTTGAGACAAAAGAAAGGTTGCGAGGAGAGTCTGTGTAAAGACACCCACTCAGAGGTCGGTTGCCGCAAGGTAAAGAGAAGTTTTGACGGTGGCCGAAGAGATTGCGCCTTTTTAATAGCAATAATTATCAGAATATCCCCCAGAAATGCAGTGACCGATAGAGGAATGTTTACTGCTGAAATGAATATTTTAAGATGCACTCCATAAAGACCTGTCGAACAAATGAACTACTCAGCTGTCGTGCGGCCTCCATCTTCAGATAGATTCGCCATTTTCTTGTTGATAAGAAATGATTTATAAAGTACAGATGATTATGGCAAGAGTTTAACAAAATGTTTCTGTAAACTGTGTATTGCTATCAAAGTCCTCTTTTTAAAATCTGGGTTGTTTCACGTAGACGTTTTCAGTTCTCTTCTACTGCTTTGTTGTGGGGGTCGTAAAACAGGCTATCAGCGTCCCCTGATGATTAGAGAGAATGCCTTTTAATGTGAAGTACTCCATAAAATGGGCTAACAAATGGGCAATCTTTGGAAGACAGCTTGGCAAAGAGGAAAGTTACATTTGTGCTCATTCGACAAGTGCGGACATAGCTGATTAGAAATAATTTGAGTTTCACAGCATCAGATACTGACAGACGAAACATCAGATAAACTAGCATAGTCCTGACTACAAATTCTTGTAGCGTCTTCCAGCGTTTTGGCGTAGCGTTCTGTTAGTTGTATACGTGGCGCAGAGTAAAATATTGTGCAAGAAAAAAAAAAAAAAGAAGAAGAAGACTGAGCAGCGTAGGGCCTCTCTCTCCACGTTCTTTTCTCGCTGTGCTCCAACTAACTAAACCGCTGGAAAAGGCTTAAACCATTCACTCTAGCTTCTATGTTTGGCGCGGCTAGAACAATAAGTTACTTTCTAGAAGAAGAAAGAAGCTTTTGGAAACAGGCCCGGCTTTTCAAAATTTGAATACTGACAAGAGAAAAATTTCTCTTGATACTGACCGGCGCTATACACTTTCCGGTCCTCTCCAGTGAATAGCGTAGTTTATTTTGTCAACTCTTATCTACTGGATCATAGTAATTTATTCGTTGGAAAACATAATCCACTCGTTAAAAACCTGGACTCCGGATAATAAATTCATAAAGACATAACTCGGCTTCAACGCTGGGAAAAATAAAGTGACATAAGAAACAATTTTTATTCTATTTTATCGCGAATTGTTTCGTCGGTCATAAACACATCATGCATACCAGTATAATGTTATGGTAAGTCGATCCTGTACATGCATTATTTATGCTATATTTGGAGTGTTTTTGAGCAAACATATCGGAAACAAAAGAAAAGACAAGAAGCCACCTGCTTCAGGCCTCGTGTGGCTGCAAACATGCAAATTAAACTATGAGCAGGCTTGCTTCCTTATCTTGAAAATGTTGCACAAGGTGTGGTGTGCTATCGCTGACATTCAGACACGCTATCGACAGATTTGGTTGAATATAAATTTCTTTGAACTAGTGTCTTAGGGTTGAAATTTGATTAATCCCATTTAGAAAGTATCAATTTGTTTGTCAGAGTATATGCCAATGTTTACAACATTTCGAAAATAGCACGAATTGTACTCATATACTCGACATTTATTCTCTTACAACCTTGACTTTGGAAAATATTGAAAAAAATAGTTGTTGTGTGGAATCATCTCGCAACATAATATAATCGTAATTTGTCTTAAAAGTTAACCTGCTTTAACTGGGTAATTATTATGGGCAGCTGCCATTTGCAGTTTTTAACGAAAACAAGCGACTTGATATTTTTATTCGCCAAAAGATGAAACACGATAACGTTCTGTTATGGAAATGTATAGAGCATTTTTAATTAGTCATCACAAACAATTGCCTCTGTTTTGCAAATTAAAAACTTTAGCCAACGGCGGATTTCCTTTGAATCAATAACTCAGGAGACGAGATCCTTTGAAATTTTCTCGGTCCCATTTTACCGTAAGTTGTGTTTTTTTTTTTCCCGTAATCGATCAACTTAAAGGGCCTTAGTCAGCCACACCTTTGTCTTTGTATACATGCGAGGGTTGGTTAGTGGATTATATTCGGAGCGTATCGAAACGAAGAAAATCACTGTAAAACTTCTAAAGATAATTAAACATACTTTCAGGGCCACAACTTAGAGTAGAGCAATAGGATTTTGCTTCACCATGCAATATCAATCATTCCGATGGCACTGAGGCTGACAAGGGTCCTTTAAGCAGAAGATCGCCTTATGCTCCTCTAAAAAACTACCTGACGAGAAATATGCTCACTTGCTGTGTGGTAGTAAAGGTTCTTGTGTTTTTTTTTTAATAATCAATTCTTCCCTAGCACGTAAAATCCGAGAGAGGAGATGCTGGCTAATATAAGACTTGAACTCCAACAAACGGGTGACGTTGTCAAAATTACTCAGTAACAGATCATTATAATTTGAATTGCTTTAGGGACTTGAGATTTTTCGGGATTTCTCTTTAAAAAAATATTCAAATCTTTAACTAGTCTGACACTAGCATAGCGAAAATTGGCAAGATTTTGTCTCTGAATTTGAAAAAGTATATAAAAATACCTGAAATAGGATGATTAATCGGAAGCTTGTCTTATATCGCAAAGGTTTTCAATGGTAATGCTCACAATAACGCCAAAAACAGTTGAACTCGCACCGCGGTTTGCAACAATATTTGTCACTAGACGATATGTGATTTTGGAATATATGGACGCTTAAGGTAGGTTTAATTTCAGTCAATGCGCATCAATATAAGTATTTACACGTAAATTTATTTTGTAATGTCTCTTTTTGATCATCATATCCAATGGTTACTATGGTAGTAATATTCGACTGACATCGCATACCTCATGTTGGTTTTATATTTAATTTGCGCCCAAAAAATACTTGAAACTAAAGAACATGGGGACTTCTAGAGTGAAAATTGTTTAATCATTTTGTCAATATAATAATGCGTCACCAGTCAGTGCGTAATACAATCTGACGACAAGTTCTTTAAATTTATTATTTAACGCTTTGATATATTTAGAAACAAATTTTCCATATCAATAATTAGTTTAGCTACCAAAGGAAACCAAATGCAAATTGTGATGATAAATACAGCGTAAAAAATTGGCATGATTCCGAAGTGCTTTATATGACGCCTCTTACCGCTACGCTGACGGACCACTGTAGAACATGATACTTTGAACTTACGTATGTAGCAGTGAACAGGTTGATGTCAGCCTGTTCGAGAAACGCTATCCTGCCCCACACAGGTTAAAAATTCATTTAGTAGTTGCAATTCAACAACATTAGCAGAACTTTCTTACTCATGTTCAGTACATTAAAGGTGTACGATAAGTTATTGATCAAGTGAGTTAGATCGAACGGGAAGCTGACAGTATTTGGACCTCGAGCCAAATATATTCCCGGCCGGCCCTCCCAATCAGTCAATATTTGTACACGCTTTTGTTTAACTCTTCCTGTGAAACAACATCCGGTGTAAACACCTGCCGCAATGGTTTGAATCATAAGTTAATAATAAATGGCATGACTCAGGCTGACTAAGGTTACCAGAGAAAATAGGAAAATAATACTTGCAATTGCTTTTTGTTCTCTTTTTCAAAGCAAGAAAACACCAAACATCTTACTATAGAATATACTCATTTTAAAATGTGTGACGCATTTTATCCATTCAATACAGGGGGATTTAACGAAAATCTCGGTCTTCAAAACTGCCGTTCATTAAACGTTCAGCTCGTTTAATATGATTTTAAGCAAAATTGTTATCCTTCCTTTAAATACCTTTTTGTCACCGGAAATTGAATAAATTACGGACAAAAGGCCACTAAACCATCGACAAAAAACGACAAAAGTAACTCCGACGATGAAGCAAATCTGATGTGAAATGGACTATGAGAACGCGTTAATGCATTGACAGTTATTGATTGAAATCAATCTCATATCGAAAAGGCCCACTCTATATACCAAAATCACCAACCATCTAGTTGCAAACTGCAAACAGTTGCAGGACACTTAGCCTTCAAGGGAGCTTTCTGTTTACGCTGTAAGCTACCACCGACACTGAAAACCAAACCAGGTACAAGCCAAGCTTAGTCTTTCTCGTAATTAATCTTCTTTTTTTCAGATTTAGAGAAACGTCTTAATTTAGCCCTTGTTTAGTAGTTGCCAGTGATGGCGAATATTCAGTTCGTGTTCTTGGTTTAGCAGTGGTTTCCATCAAATATAAGTATTCTACATTTTGATGAAACATAAAGCTAAAGAGTAAGTTCAAAAGTACTATATCTAAAAACGTCTAGCTGACCCAAACATTAACCGAATCGGTCTATGGTCGCCTTTTTAAGCGCGGATCCGGGGAAGCACGCGAGAATTACATTTTCGATCTAGAGTAGAAGAGCTAGTCCTTCTTTCAAATGTTATTTGCTCAAGATGGAACACTCGAAATATGGCACTGAGTTTGAAAGATTTGAGAATGGCAGATAACCTCAAGAATGTGGTGTCTGCGACGGATACAACAATTAGAAGACCGCCGAGTGCCTAATATATATTTGAAATTTACCAATGTAGAGACTTGCTCCAAGGAAGTACAAACAGACTTTCATCAGTCTCAACCTTTTTAAAAATTCTGTAGACCCGAGGAGTCAAAAGAATAGAAAGATCTACTGAGAAAGGCAGAGTTTTGCAATAAATATTATTTCACTAATTACTTGACAGCACTCAGAACTTGGCTAAGAAGCGAATTTCGTAAAAAAACGTTTCCCCAAAACACTCATCTGTTTCTTTACTGAACAAAACGAACTTCATTTAAAAAAGAAAGAAAACAAAGAGAAAACAAAACTGAGAGAGAGATGTTGCAAACTTGTCACGAGAGGATTAAGAACGCTAAACAATTGAAATCCTCCAGGAAAAGGGCTTTGAATTTGAATAACAAGTTGTTCTGTTCACCTGTCAGTTATTTGCTCAACTTTAAGCGTTTTGTTAGTAAGGACTTCCTCTTCTAAATATTTGTAAAAGCGCGAAGTCTACTTCTCAACTGATTCTGGAAGGAAAAAGAACGTTAAAACCATATGGGAGATGAAAAATTTCTAACAAGGGTAATTATTTACGAAAGTGTAAAGCCAACTTATGCTTACGTACGCTGATAAAATACGTTCGGAAGGGGGAGGGGGGGGGGGGGGGGNGCTGGTGTCCACTTAATAGAGGCTGGCCGCTTAATATGGGGTCCGCTTAATAACGGTGTCACTGTAATCGAGCTTATCGGAACAGCGGCGCTTATAATCAAACCACTCGTAATTTAAAGAGGGTTTCCACTCCGTACTGCACAGTCTAAGCACCCTAATGTTTATACGTTTCAATCGATGGAAAGCAAATCCATGTTATTCGTTACGAACCACACACCTTATCTTTGAGGCCTTTCACATTCTTTTTCCAACAGCTTCATTGATATTTACAGCTGCGAAGTTGTTTCATCAAGTGATATGAGGAAGAAGAAAGCATAAAGCTTCGCATCCATAATGGCGGTTGACATTAAACTTTAAATTTACTTCATATAAACAGTTGCGAAATGTTACATTTTGTGATGTCTTACATGAGACAAAACAACAAACATGTAAAAGCCCAACTGTTGAGTCGAGGTACATGCATGCGTTTTCTGCAATCTTTTCTACAAACACGTTCGTCAGTGAACAATTTGAATTTGAATACAATTTTCGAAATAAAAGATCTTTAACAAAGCAATGGCAGGAAAAAGAAAGCTAGATTTGCTTCTTTTCCATTTTTTTTTTTGGGTCAAAATTACTGTTTTTAAAATTTTCTCAAACTTAGTCAGGATCATTAAACCCTGGCAGCAGAGTCGCTTCGATCTTTCCGCTAGTAAGGGAGGGCCATTAATGATCAAATCCAAAAAGGGGTTAAGCGGACCTGCGAAATTTGTGGTGCTAATCGCTGCAAGTGTTTCAGGCAGCGTCCACATTATGCTGGAGAAATTTGAAAACGAAGCTTTATTTCTACGGTTCGGCCTACCGTCCACACTAATCTGTCACGAAAACGGAGCTTTTAGAAAACGCTCTAGAAATCGGAGCGATTTGAAAACGCCGGCTTTCGTTTTCGTATAGACGGGAAACATTTTGAAAACGGCGCTTTTCGAAAACGATGGCGTCACGATAATCATGTGATTTCCTCGACCGACTTTTCCTCAAACACAAATCCAAAATGACCGGTGATTGTTGCGTTTTTGAATTCTTCCGGCGTAGTGTGGACGGAAAACAGTTCATGGGGTTTCAAAGTAAAACCTCCGCTTTCGAATTCCTCTGGCGTAGTGGAGAAAGGGCCTTATTCTTAGACAGAAAATCGACTCTGTTATGCTAGTGTTATTCAGATGATACCCGCTAGAGGCCTGTTTGGAAAATTTTCTTTTAAGGAGAAATCATTCGCGTGATATTTCCCGCTAAAATATATTCTCTAATCAACAGGGGACGTGCAATAATTGGTGTTACGACCAGCTGGAGAAAGCTGTAGAATAGTGTCGGAAATACCTTCGTGACAGGACCTGAGAGGAATATAAGAAAATGAGAAATTTAACAACAGATGAAAACCACACGACAGTTCAACAGTTATTTTGCTCAACAGGTCTTTATGGAATACATCTTAAGATATTTATTTCAGCACTGAATATTCCTCTATGTGTCTCAGCATTTCTGGGAAATATTCTGATCATTGTAGCTATTAAAAAAATATTGTCTTTTCATCCACCGTCTAAACTTCTGCTCAGCTGCCTTGCAGCAGCCGACCTATGTGTGGGTGCCATCACGCAGCCTCTGTTCGTCATCTACCTCATGACTCCAGAGCACTCGAAACTTTGCTTTTATATTGACGTGTTTTTTGTTTCAATAGGCAACATATTTTGCGGAGTATCTGTGCTGACAGTGACCGCAATAAGTGTAGACAGACTTCTCGCCCTTTTGCTGGGGCTACGATACAGACAGGTAGTAACTTTAAGGCGAGTTCGAATCATCGTAATTACTTTTTGGATTGTTTGCACATTCCTTGGAGTTAATTTAACTTACAACCACCGAATATCTTACTACATGGCATTCGTGGTTTTTATATTGTGCATGGTGACCTCAACGTTCTGTCACTCGAAAATCTATTGCACACTTCGCCATCGCCAAACTCACGTGCAGAACCATGTTCAGCAAGGACAAGCGAACGGAGGAGCAATTCCATTGAATATTGCAAGATATAGGAAGACAGTGTCCAGTGCGTTGTGGTTGCAAATGGCATCACTGGCTTGTTATTTCCCTTGGCTTATAACAAATGTTTTCTCACAATTCTACGTACCTGGGCCGTCTCTTGACTTTGCATTATCTGTAGCAGGTACTCTCTTTTTGTTAAACTCCACTTTAAACCCAATTCTGTACTGCTGGAAGATGGGGTGTATAAGACAAGCAGTGAAGGACACAATCAGACAGTTTTGGTGTTTTTCGAGTTAACTGCGTCGCGATTGTAGATTATGGGGAGTCTACTCCACGGGGAGTTGACAATAAAATTTGTATTGTATTGTATTGTATTGTATTGTATTGTATTGTATTGTATTGTATTGTATTGTATTGTATTGTATTGTATTGTATTGTATTGTATTGTATTGTATTGTATTGTATTGTATATGAAGATTGAAGGCGTACAGTGGCCAATTTCCTCCATGAGATGCGCCTGCAGGGAATCATGGTAGCTGTATTCATCAAAACAAATATACAGTCCAAGACGATGAATACAATTACCATATTTCTCTTCATGCGCAGCGATCTCATAGAAGAAATTGGCCATTCACTTTCGATCATAAAGTTAATCCACAACAACGCTTTTACATTACTGAGTCGTTTAACCCAGAAAATGCATTTAGTACTCACACAATAAAAAGTTTTTTGTTAATGTGGGTTTTCTCTTTAAACACGGATAGCTAGCAACAAAGCTTAAGGACAAGTAGGAGGTGGAGATGAAATTGCCATAAAGACAACTTCATCTGAGTTTTTTTTTTATTTACTGCTGTGCAGACACTTAGACAACCACAACTTGAAAAGAAGAAATCGGTCTCGTGTACAACAGAGGCCAGTTTAATATTTACTATAGGATAACTGACACATTTTATATTTATTTAGCTGTTATTTAAATAGTGTTGCCAACCCAGTGCATCAAATTTAAACTTAAGTGAGAATCCGTGGGAGGTAATCATGTAAAGCTAATGTGAGTTAAGTTTAATTATTCGCTGGTGCATGTGTAACTTGTTGTACTGGCTTTTTGTTATGTATATATCAGTATAGGTAATCATACGGTTTCGAGTTCAATTAGGAATTAATTTGCACGAGTGAGTTTTTCAAAAAGCTGAAGTTGCATGAGCCGCTTCGGCGAGTGCAATTTCAGCTTTTTTAAAAACTCACAAGTGCTAATTAATTCCAAATTGAACGAGAAAAACCGTCTGATTACTTATTAACAATATTAACATGAAAAAATTCGCGTGGAGGAAATGCCGGAAGATCTTTCTTGAAGCCATTTTTTCTCATTCGAGAAAAATTTTTTAGAGTTTCCGCACTAAAATTTCGCCATGATTTTGCGTGATATCATTAGTTAGAAAATTTCCTTTTTTCTTTCAGCTAATCATTATCTAGGATTACGTTGTGTAATTTGCACTGGTGTTACACGTTTTGCACTGGTGTTACGATTGAACTGCACTGCTCTCAACCAATCAGAATCGAGTAATTTTTTCATGTATATTATTATATACATAACATATATACATTATATACATATTATACATTATATACATTACATATATAGCTGATGAAATCTTCAATTCACTATATTATTACATTATACATTACATTATATACATTGCATACATATATTACAATTATAATTATAATTATTATAATTATTCGGCTGTTGTATAATTATATGGACAATATTTCTTTATCCTATTCCAATGCTTTACCTGTAGTGTTTGGATCTTTACAGATCAATAAAATTTTAAAATGCCATCTTGTTTGAAGCCTTCTGTTTCTACTTGACTTCACACCCCTTTACTTGATGGAGGTTGGAGGTGGGAGGGGAAGGTGGTTAGTTAATTCACCCAGTTCTTGTTGCTTTTTGTAAGTACATAGAATTGTGGGCCATCAGCCCTAGCCCAGTCCTTAAGCTCTCTCTTTCCCTCTCTATGAAGGGGTTGAACCCAGGCCGGAGTACAGAGAGCCCAGGATAACTTGCATGCGCATGCTCAAAGCGAACCAATTAGTGTGGAGTTCACGAGCGCTCTGGGGTTTAGCTGTTTGTCCAAATGACGAATTCAGCTACACGACAGAGTACACAACTTAACAACAAGAAACACGATCACAAGTTGTGTATGAAACAATTTGATGAACGTGCAACAAAACCAGAAACGCCTGAAATGAGCGAAACACTGCTAAAACGTTAACTCATACAACACGTGACTAACTGATTAGAAATATATGGACTGTCAACTCCTTTCCATAGATGGCACAGAACACAAGTGAAATATTCGTCTCTTAACCGAGTGATTTGAACCTTACAAAAAAGGAAGTTAAAGATGGCGGCTAACGAGTATTATTTTTGCCGCTAGTTTTTAGCGGGTATTGACTAAAACACGTTCCGTGGTTCCAGCTTGTAAAACGTACATGGTCGCTAGTCGCGCGCGGGTTCGTGAAAGTTTCATCAAAATACTGGTGGCGTTCTGACCATGCGAATGTTGTTATCCTGGACTCTCTCTTCTGATCTGATTCCCGCCTGGGTTCAACCCCTATATTGAACGAGGAATGGAGAGTTCGGGAACCAAAAATGTAGCAGCTCTCATGAACTTGTTTTCCTTTTGCTTGTTAGCAGCTCTCATTGCTTTGGGGTTAGGGGCATTGCTTCTGTTGTCTGTTTTACTGTCTCTCAAATTAAGAGTATCAAGTGATACATGCGAGACCTTATGAGAGTTGCTCAGAAAATAGACTACCATCGGCAGTGAAGATTCGCAATGACATTGTCATTGTCTTTAAACTCACGGAATTCGGTTAAGGGTTCTATGTAAATGAAACCGTGGTAATTTCAATCGAATCCACCGTAGTTTGTTTGAATCTCCAAAATATAACACGCTATTTTCAAATTTGGCGCTGATTTGGCTGAACGTATAGGATATAAGATGACATATATATTTTTTTTTAAAAAAAGGAAGACTTGATAGTAATTTTCTTGATGGTTAACCAACGAAGGGTCAATAATAACCACAAGGTAATGACAAACTACAAGTTTTCAGCAATGCTTTTAAGTAATTTTATGCCCACTGAGAAATCATCACTCAGATGATATGCGGAATTAGCCAGAGTAGACATCGGTTCTTGCCACCTGTACCGGAAAGTGAAAGATTACTCCAACCATCAAAGCTCTCTAGATATGGATCAACCGCGTAAATGTCAAGACCCTCCGCGCCCCCCTCCCCCCCGGGGAGGGGGTAATCCCAGAGAAATTGGGCGGGAGTGTGCGGCCCGCTTCCCAAACCCTTACCCTATTTATGACCAAAATCTGCGATATTCCCTACCCTATTTACGACCTGACCATAAATTCGAAACCCTATTTATGACCTGACACTTAAATCAAAACCCTGTTTCAGACCTGGGTTACAATTAATTCCCTAGTTCAGGCCAATGTTAAATTATTATAGACATAATTGGTGAAGGGCTTTTGTCGATTTTCTTTTCGATAATGACGAAAAATTGGCTTCTAATAAAATACCTATATCAAGGCTAGAGTGCAAAAACCATACCCTATTTATGACCAAAATGGCTTAAATCAGCTAAAATCGATACCCTATTTATGACCAAAACGGCTGAAAAACTATACCCTTGGGGGCCGCACATACCAAAATAGCCCATGAAAGAGAGCACCCCCTCCCCCCTCCCCAACGGACCCTCCGCTTAATCTATTTATAAACGAGGAGTGTTTCAACTATAACGATAATCGCAAAGAGCAGGTTCCAGGAGAAAAACTAGGTCTTCTTTATGACAGTGCTGCGTTATATATGCTCGATGCTGCTACTAGAAGGTCCAGAATTTAGCATTCAAAGCCAGCTTTAAGGGAATCAAAATGAGACTTTGGTCGATATACGGGGAGACTGGCATTTAGCGGAAAGGGAATAATAAGACTGATAGCCAATAAAAACCCTCACGAGAAAAATTAAGTACCTGTCGAGGTTGATGCTTAATATTTAGACAGCATATTCGACGAGGTTAATTTTTATAAATTCCTTGTTAGGAGTTCTGCTTCATGCTCAAAGATGAAAACAATCACATGTGAAGATAAGATTATAACTAATCTCTGTTTAGGTATAATTAACGTTAAAGTAGTTTGAAAACTACGTTGAAATAATCAATTCAACGTCGGTAGTTTTCTTATTAAAGGCAAAATATAACTCTAAGTCGTTGTACTTTTTACAGAAATGGAAAAACAGATATAGATCAGCCCATAAAAAAAATCGAAACCGAAAGCCAACAATGTCAATGCGAAAAAAGAAAAAATGCAGCATTAGAGCCAATATGGTTTCCAAGAACGTAAAAGGGCTTTTTGCTGTTCGTTTTTTGAAAAAGTTCTTTCAGTCCTGTTACTTAATTATATTGTATTTCCATTTTTCATCACGGGAGCCTTTGTAAATGGTGTTGCTCCTGGCGTCAAATTAACTTAGAGTCTTGGCTCATCTTATGAAAAGCGATGATTCATTACCAATACTGTTTTGTGGCAAGATGTAACAAGACTATATCGTTACTTTTCAGTTAAGAGTTCATTTTCTTGTTGAGAAAAAAAAAAAATTAGATCACATGCAAAATGGACAATCTGCCGGATTAAGGTTATTTATTGTTAACGGAAATTTATAAACTAGCTAATTTGATAGTTAATCAGAAGGATCTGTATTAATGTCGAAGCTTTTAACTTTAGCCGATCATTAAAAGAGCAGGTGATAAGAGTACGCTCTCAGTTTTGCCAAAAAAAAAAAAAAAAAAA